CACTCGCTAACTCCTTTATCCTCCATGGAAGCTTCCCACAGAATCCCTCCCAACTGAGCTCTGAGCGAGCTTAAGTTTGCTCTTCTAAAATCTAAAACCTTTGTCTTAGTACTAACCTGTGTGCTCAGCAGGATCCCAAACTCCACAATTTTGTGATGACTGCAGCCAAGGCTATCACTAACTGAGATACTACAAAGCACGTTTTCTTGGTTTGTGAGTAGCAAGTCCAGCAGTGCCTCATTCCTCGTTGGCGCATCTAACAATTGTATGAAGAAGCAGTCCTCTACACATTCCAGGAACCTGATGGATGATGTGAGCTGCTGTATTGTTCTTCCAACAAATGTCTGGGTAGTTGAAGTCACCCATAAGAACCAGGTTCTGAAGACTCAAGCTTGCTTAAGTGACCCAAATATTGCTTCATTGGCCTTTTCGTCTTGGTTTGGACGTCAGTAGCAGATGCCTACTGTAAGATCTCCCTTGGAGATGACCCCTCTGATCTTGACTCAGAGGCATTCGACAGGGCTTCCACAATCACCGTAGCTGACTTCTATACATTCAAGGTTCTCCTTAACATAGACTGCGACTCTTCCTCTTCTTCCCTACCTGTCTTTACGAAACATCCTATAGCCATCCACCATGATCCTCCAGTCATGTGAGTTGTCCCACCATGTTTCAATTATTCCTATGATATCATAACTTTCTGACTGGGCATGGAGCTCCAGTTCCTCCTGTTTGTTCCCCAGGCTGCGTATGTATATAAAAGAAGTGTACAGAAAAAAATACAAGATCCAGAGAGACAGGTGACATAAAGAAACACTTTGAGAAAAATGCAATGTGGTAAAATAATTTGAAGCACAGGTCACAAAGCAAGAAATAAATTCTCAATCAGAAGCATAATAATCAGAGAGACCAAATTCCCAGTTGAAAATTATTCTATGATTCTATGAAAATGAGTTTGGTATACTCAAGCTACCTATAGCTATCTGCTTTATAAACAGATAAACAGGCTTTCAACCTGAGACCTCTTTCTGACAACTACACTCCAACTTCAAGCAAAACAGCTCAGTTGTTTCAAAGTGATCATATATCTTCATTATCATAGAATCATACAATAGTTGAGGTTGGAAGGGACCTCTGGAGATCACCTAGTCCAACCACCCCTCCTAAGAACAGGTTCAACCAGAGCAAGCTGCTCAGGGCCATGTCCAGCCAAGTTTTGAATATTTCCAAGGACAGAGACTTCACAATCTCTCTGGGTAACCTGATCCAGTGTTTCACCACCCTTATAGTAAAGTTTTTTTCCTCATGTTTAAATGGAATTTCCTGTATTGTGCCCATTGTAGGCACAGGACATGGCCGAGAAGTATCTGGCTCCATCTTCTTTACTCTTGACCCCACGTATTTATACACAGTTGTAAAATCCTCCCTGAGCCTCCTCCGATGTCAGATGCTCCAATCCCTTCGTTATCTTCATGGCTCTTTGCTGGACTCACTCCAACATGCCCAGGTCTCTCGTACTGGGGAGCGCAGATCTAGACCCAGCACTCCAGATGTGTCTCACCAGTGCTGAGTACAGGGGAGGGATCACCTCCCTTGACCTGCTGGCAATGCCCTGCCTCAGACCAGTATGCACACATAGCTGGCTCATGTTCAGCGTATTGTCTTTCATTATATACCTTTCAAATTATTTAAAAGTACCTGTCTTCACTGAAGCTACTTGCATAATACACTTAAGTTTAAGACCCTCTCAAAGATTAATCTTTTTTAATCTCAATTATTAAAAAAAGAGGAAGAATCGGTAAACTGCTGACAACTCCGCATCCTTTCTTCTGCAATGTACTGGGTCTGGCTGGGCTGGAGTTAACGTTCATAGCAGCCTGCATAGTGCTGTGCTTTGCATTTGTGGCTGAAATGGTGTTGATAACACATCAACATTTTGGCTATTGCTGAGCAGTGCTCTCACAGCAGCATAGGTTTGGGTTGGGCAAGAGGCTGGGAGGGGACACAGCTGGGATAGCCGACCCAACTCACCAAAGGGATATTCCATACCATGTAATATCATGCTCAACAATAAAAGCGGAGGGTAAGGAGGCAGGGAGAACACACACACAGATGACCAGTTGCATTTATGGCATTTGTCTTCCAAAGTAACTGCTACATGTACCGAGGAACTGCTTCCCAGGAAACGGCTGGACATCTGTCTGCTGATGGGAAGTACTGAATAAATTCCACTTTTTGCTTTGCTTCCATGCATGGCTTTTGCTTTTCTTATTAAACTGCCTTTATCTCAAGCTTTTCCACCTTATTTTCTCCCCTGTCCTGCTGAGGAGGGGGAGTAAGAGAGCAACTGGGTGGAGATTTGGCAGTCAGCCAAGGTCAACCCACCACCTATAAATATGTCAAAAGAATGATGGACATAATATGTATCAAAATCACAGCTAATTGAAGAAATGTCTAGTCAACAGTTTTGTTGGGGTTTTTTTTCAGACAAAATGATTGAGAAATGCTTTGCTATCTATATTATTCTTATTTTTAAATTCAAAGGGCTAGCCACTTGATTAGGTCTCCCCCAATGAGGAAGACGTGTCTATAGACACTTAGGCTACACCTATGCTGAAGGACAAACAGAAATTTCCAGTGAACAACATTATACCTTTATTTTACCCTCCTGTCTCTTCCCACCTGCAAACCTATGCAGGGAAATCACGTAGCATCCATCTGGAATGCTCAAGGAGTACTTTAATAATTTCAGTTTGATTGTTTTGGCATCCTTGATTTCCCCTCTGTTGATTTTTCTCTAGATTTTTTATCTTACTTCAGACCCATTATTTCCAGGTGTAAAGTTTACTTCTACAGTCTTTTGGCCCTTTCTTCCCTCAGCTGTGGCTTGTGCTACAGCTCTCCAGCCTCAAAGCCCACAGGCCTTTGTGTCTTCTACAGACAGCCACCAGGTGGAGGCCCTTGACTCAAAGAACCTGGCATCTGTCGGTCCTAAGGCATACCAAGAGCTTTGGCTAGCAGGAAACACTGGATTTTAACATGGCTGGAAATCTAAACAGTTTCGGAAACAGAGAAAACCGGGACTTGTGATATTCTCCTGGGCCACTGAAGCTCTCAGTTGTATTGACAAGGTCAGGATGAAGAGCAAACTCTCCCAGGTTCCCACCTATGCAAATGATTTGACACAGCAGGAAGAAAGGAAGATGGGAACAGGATACTACAGATAGACATTTCTAGTGCCTGGACAGCATTGCAGTATCTGGTTCTAGAAGAGCGAGAGTGATGCTGCGGTATTATGTGCCAGCCAGAAGTGCAAACTGCCAGAATCACAGGAAAGGACCATGAAGCAGGAATTAAAAGAAGAGTGGGGCAATCTAACATGTACTATCCTTCTCCTTCAGTACATCTGCACCTATTGTCTGAGACAATACAGTCAGTGCTTCCCTAATATCAGTGATGTTATTACATACCATTCCTGAAGCTGGAAATACATCACTTATGCTCCCATTAGCGATCCATTCTACTGTAACTCGTCCATATGTTCCTATTAAACGTTCAATATTCAAGGTGATTAAGCTGTCCTGTTCCATCTCTTCAACTTGCTTAAATAAAGAACTCTGGAAAACATGAAGTAGGAGAACCATAACATTATTTTCTTACAAAGAAAAGTTTCTTTAGGGATCTGGGTATTCAACGGGGGCCAGTGACATTGGGCATCAATAAGTTACTCTACTGTTAAGTAGATAAATACATGTTCATTGATTAAATTTATATGTCCTAATTTTCAGAGGTACTCAATACTCCCAGGTTTCACAGACATAAGAATTTAAAATGTCAGGCCTCTTTATGCGAAGGCAAAACCCCGAACGTTTCTTGTTTGGGTTTTTTGTTGGGTTCTTTTTTAGTACAGTATTTTATGTCCAAATCATATGAAGCAGATACCAAACAAGTGGACCTTCAAGAGAGATATTTTTACTGCTGTTACTTTACTGTTATTCACCCTCCTCGCACAAGTCCAGCTGCAGTGTTTCATTTCAGTAAGAACTCTTCTGTGTTTTATATCTTCAGTATGCATTTACTATATACCTGTCTAGATAACTTCTACAGTGTTTATGATTTAAGAATTAACCACTCCAAATAATACCTTCAGTCTGACATTTTTTCCAAATAAATGATTTTGTTCTGGCAGACTGGCTCATCTTGTGACATAACCCAATTACTATCTTTTCCAGGGGAAAAGGATCTTCAGATTTGTTTACTTAATTCCCTTGATTAACCAACCAGTAGCGACTCTCTGATGCTATCATATAAGCCATCTGAAAACTGAATTTTTAGGTTGTTGCAAAACCAAGCTGATAAACTAATGTGTTAATCTAAATGTAAGGGGATTATAAAAATCTCACAATAGGGACAGACTGTGGAACGGATTTTCTATCACCTTGGGTTCTATAAAATCACACAGCAATGCTAAATGGATGTTAAAAGCTTCTAACTCAGGTTGCTACAAGACTTTAGAAAAACAATTCTGTCACATGCTCCAGTTTACAGTTTTAGTATGTTTCAGAAATTATATATACATATTTTAATGATTTACCTTAGAAGTTTTACCTGAGCAAATGCAATGACTCCATAAGCATTGTCATTGGAAGGAATAATTATGTTAACAAAACCATGAACACCAATCTCTGCACCTCCCTTAGGGTTTTTCAACCACACTTTGAAGCATTCTTCCTCCTCTGGGATGATGTCATCCAGAATATTGACTGCTATCACAGCTTCCATGTCCCCAGGCTCAAATATCAATTCACCTGAACTAGCATAAAAACACACACATCAAATAATTATAAACTGAGGATAGCTGATTAATGAACTTTGAAAGCACTGCTGTAAATTTAACGAGCATTTTTGGAGCTGGAATTATTTGTATTCCTGAGGAAGTAATTGGTTTAAAGGTTGTGGGTTTTGTGTCGTTTTTTTTTTTTTAAATTACAATAGATCATAGAGTAACTGAAATTAATTATGAAAGTAATTTAATTTATCCTAAATAAAAGCTTTTTAAAAATCAAGTCGTAACTGCAAGTCCTTTCTTGCCATGTTTTAAAGCCAGTTGTGAGGCTGTTTGACTTCAGGTTGTTTTAAACCTACCTGTGAAAAATTCTCTTTAGTGTTAACAAGCACACCACACACAGAAGTATATAATGCTCTTCCCTGTAACAAAAACAGTATCACAGGAAAAAAATGCAAGAGCTGGGAGAAAGTTGTATGAAACAAAAAAACCAACCTAGGTATAAAATCTGACTGGTTGGAGATAGTGGTCAGCTCATATATCTGGGAGTTGGACTCTACGGACAGAGCAATCAAGCTCTTGCTGGAGTTGAGAGACCTTGCAGTAGCTGAAATGATATGATCCGCATATGGTGCTTCCAGCATTACAGAGAACTGGTTCCTTTCCGAGTTCCAAGAATACAGCGCTGTTGTGTCCTTACCAGATAGGAGGATGTGAACTATATTGAGCAAGGAGGAGAAAAAAGGAATATTCAGTGATATATTTAAAAGTTCTCCTTGTAGTGCCAGAAATGCCCTTGGTAGCACAATGATTATAGTAACTTTTAAAGTCTGATCAATAATATGAAAAAATGAGCACATATATTTCTGCAATTCCAGCATTATAAACTAGGGTTTGAACAAATATTGCCATTTAAGTCTTACCTAAACCTGAAGGAGGCATGAAAACATGGATGTTTCTTACAGCGCAGACTGGAAGAGACTGAAAGTGTCTAAAGGTAGACTGCCCTGTCTCCCAGATGAAAATTTCAGAAGAATTTCCAGATTCTACAACGGAGCAAAATGACAAAGCTTACATTATTTTGCTGCCTGTTAGTTCAATCGCACACTGGTGGCTATTCAAAAGGCAGAGTTTGGCAGCTTTAATCACGAAGTGAGACCAATTATCATATTTTCCTTTTTACTTGGTGCATAACTCCATAGTATGACTGATCTCCATGGGATGATTCATCCACTGACATCAGTTAAGGGCTTTTCTGCACAGATTCACATATAAGAACACTAAGATTGCCAGCAGACAACAGCCAATTGCAAAGAAACCTATGTACTGCAACATAAACTTTTCAGTAGGCATAGGGATGCAGTCATAAAGCAATGCCTAAAATGTCGTATGTGTAATAAAAAACACAGGTACTTTGCCGACCAATGATCTTTGCATATCACAAAGCTCAGAAAAGCTTAGAAAGGGTGCAATCAGCAGCTAGATGAATAGAGTTATTATTCCCTATTGTTCTTGGGAAAATATTTCATTACTTTCATAAGTATTTGAGAACAAACGCAGTGCTTTTATTTTCTGAGGGACAAAACAGAGATTACTTTGATAAAATGCTTATCGGTGAATTGTCACTTCCCAGTAATACTTTAATCTCTATCTAAACTCGTTTACCCCAAATGCCTTGCTAGCGAACAAGCCAGCACACACTTAGCAAACTCAGTGTTTGTCTTCTGCTAAATACCTTTTGCAATAATTAAATAGATATCAGATCCAGAAATCCAGGCCTCCATATGTTTTATTTCTTTTGCTGGTAATTGATGAAGATTCCTAAACTCATTATCCAACCACTGGTACAAGAGCATGTTCTGGCTGGTATTTGACAAAGAAACTAATAGGTACATAGCACCTCCTCTAGGAAACAAGGCTATGTTCAGAGCTCTATGAAGTGGAAGTTGATGATGCAGCACAAATATATCTTTATTCCACTGGAAAACCTGTGGAAATATGAAATATTTTTTTCATTATATAGTCATAATTAGCACCAAGAGAAGAGAAATTAAGTGTCATGATGAAAAACTGGGAAGACTTATAGTGAACTGAATTCCTCATTTCTAAGGTGGACTCTACATTAAGGTAAGTAACTACCTTACTGCAAGCAGCTGTGCCTATTCTTCAGATGAACAGGTTTATGGTCAGAAGCTATTTCTGTTCTTATGGGTGTTTAACATGCTAGATTTCAAAACAGAAATAACACTAGCAATCAAATCAAACCAGATGAAAACTATATGTTAATGTAGAGAGTATTGCTACATTTAAACAAGTCTAGAATTTTAAGTCTTATAAATCCATAATAGAAACATAAGTAATTTTTCAGAAATATATACTTATATATACTTATGTACTTTATTATCCCTGCATATTTCAAACTCAAAACTAACCAAACTACCCACATCAAAGCCAGGGAAGACAAGTGTATTCTAACCTGGATGGAACTGGAACTGGTTGTGTGACTCAAAAAAATCAAATAGTCTTCTTCATCCACAGCAAAATGTTTCACATGTGTGGTATCCAGAATAGAAAGAGTCTGTATCTGTGAGGGAAATATGACAAAAATGGTGTTTGGAAGTCACTTCAAGTGACAAGTTTACGCATATTTTTAAAAATTGCAAAATTACATATAAAACTATATATAAAATATATAAAATTACCTGTATGTAATTTTACAATTTTAAAAATATGTCTATTTATGTGGGGTTAATTTACTAAATGGATAAAACTTATCATACATTTTTCAGAAAATGTTCTATGACTTGATTGCTCCACAATTTCTTTCCTCACTTCCCAGGTCATTTTCCCCCACCCCCAAAATATAAATATAAAAACACAATACACAACCAGCTGTAAAAATTTACAAAATTTTAAAATTGAAGTCACGCAGAGTGTTAGGGCCCCGAATTAGCTGAGCACAGAGTGCTTTTTTCTAAAACATGGCTGGACTGGAGGGCCTCCTGAGGTCCCTTCCAAACCCATTAGTTTATGATTTTATAAGTAAAACAGATTTACCTTCAACAGCCTGCGTCCAGGCATGAATGCATACACACTGTTGTTGGAAGCTTCCTGCCTGGCTCCTCCATGAGTAATCACAAGGTAGGGAGAGGCACGGATTTGGAAAGACTCACAGCTCTTAGGATTCCACATACTGAAATTCTGAGAGAGGAATAAAAAAGGAACATTGAGACTTAAATTCTTTACTAAGTAGCATGCTTGGTGTTTGCAAGCAAACATTTACCTCGACAGGAACAAAAACTCCTTTCCACTGGTAGACAGTAGAAAACATAGCTGGAGGTGTACGCAACAGAACACCATACAGGATTTCTCCTGATGTAAAGAAACACCAGCTAGACGCTGACTCTTCCACAAAACTTTGCAAGACAGACAGGACACTGATACTACCCCCTGCAACATAGTAGAAGAAAATACTATTTACTCTTGAGGTCTTTTTCAACGTCATATTCATGATTTACTTGCCAAAACCAGACCTAGTATCAGAAATGTTGAAGCTGTCTCTAAATAGTTTGTATAAGTGTATGTAAGTGCATGGAACTGTTACAGTACTGAGGATGTAATGAGAATTAAGCAATAAATGTATTCTTCATATATTACAATTGCATATGGAAGATGCATAGGCAATTTGAGTCTGATTGAGAATGATTGAGTTTGGAATTTAGCTAGTGAGAAAATCAGCTAGATAGCAAGTAGTGAAAAAAGTGACAAAAAAACTACAAAATGTCTGTGTTTGTCCTCCTTCTCCCCCTCATCACAACAAGCAGTCATGGCACCAAGATTCTTAATCTGCCTAAGCCGTTTGACTGGCTCACAGAAGAAAGCACTGCGCTGTCAGAACTAAACTCCAAGAGCTAAACTCCCAATCCCACACATAGGTTAGATGAGCTGCTGAGCCAGGCACGGTATTCATCCGTGTTCAAAATCAGGCATTTCCTTTTTTGCCTTGTTAGTTTTGGTCTGGACTTGTGAGCAGCTATACACATATCAGTACTGGAACAAAACACCTTAGCATGGAAATGGGAACAAGCGGAGAGAGGTGGAAGGATGGCAGTGCTAACTTGGACCAGACTAAAGTGTTCATGAAATTACAGTCTGAGACTCCCACGAATGCATCTCAGTAGGCACACTGGGAGATATAGACAGAAAATGTCTGGTGGCATTTTTTCAGACTAAGCCTATGTCAGATTTATGTAAAGTGTGTCTCTTATACTGTGTTAGAAAAATCCAAAGTTACAAGTAGTAAAGAACAGATTTTATTAAACAAAAGTCTAGTGACAATGAATTTCATATAAGCAGCAAGGAGAGCAAAACAGATTATTGAAACTCTGGCAGAAGTGGCTGATGACAAGGTGACTCTAAGCATCTAAGCTCTTTTATCTAATGAATTTTGACATGTTTAGAAAAAAATTAATGTGATCAAGTCTGAATACGTGAATTTACATTCAGGTAAATTCAGATGTAGCAAAGTTACATCTCCTGTACGTTTGGCTAGTCTCTTGCTATCTCCACTCTGACAAAAGCAGCGGACACTCGATAAAGTGAACGTACTGATGCCAAATGCAGTGTCCGACAATGTCTCCCACTCAACACTCACAGACACGTTGAGCCCATTACTCCGTGAAACTTTCAAATAAACTGTAGTGTTGGCTTCTTCAATTATGAGGAAATCTGTCCTAAATGTGAGAATTGTGAAAATAAAGAAAAAATATATTATTTTTATAGTATACGAGTAAGATTTTTACAGTAAAATTCCAGTACAGAATATACAACAGAAATAAAAAGAAAATATTAATAACTGTTTTTGCTACCTGACAGACTGATAACTGCATTAAGGTTGTCCAATGTTTCTTACCACAAGATGTTGGCAAAATCGTAGGAAATTCAACAAAATCTTAAACCAGCCTGAAATTTAACACACCAGCTGTACGGTTTAAGCTGAATGATTTTTGAAAATGTCATTCCATATGCTTCATTTGCTTATGAAAAACAGCCCTGAGTGAAAGTGTGTTTTACACAAGCTTAAAAACAAAAATAAATTCTAAAATGTATGACTCCCTGGGTACTGATCTGAGGTTTGGAGCTCTTTACATGGATTACTATTAGTGGAATGTTTAGGGAATAATGAAGTACTGTTTTATGAAAAAGTCCATAGAGAAATTGACATTTCTAATGATGAATAGTCCATTTTAAGTGTTTTTCTGTTCTTTTGTATAGCAGTAATAGTATTTGACAGATAGTGTACTTTTCAAAACTACAAAAGTTGTACAATTGGAGTGCTGAATTTCTTTAAAGGGATTCATCAAAAACAAAACTGTAGAGAGATACCATCTCTACTGAATATGAAAAATCTCCTTTTAAGTGAATCAGTGTTTAGTACCTATTTGTAACTGGATAGATGCTGAAAAGCCCTAGTGGAGCCTGGTTCTGTAATACTGTAATCATAGTTTGCACTCTTGTGCCTAGTCTGGCTCCTCCAGTTGGATTGAACAGGGTGACCACAAAGTGCTCATCCATTTCTGGTTCTTCATCCAGTATTGCAGAAATATGCAGCGCCTGACAAGAAAACAAGCATAGAAAGTTGTTGAGACTTAACAGCTAATGATGACACAACCCTATCAGACCATGCTACTGTTTCTATTCTTTCACCGTACGCCTTTGGGTAGCACAGCAGGAGAACAGCAGCTCTTGAAACTGGAGAGGACAAACGAGAGGCAAGGATGGTTCAGGTGGAGGTTCTAAAGTCATCCATCTGGTGACCTCCATCAGTGCAACACTAAGACGAGCATATCCCCTTTTTCCCTCCCCCTTCTCCTTTTTTCTCCTCTCATGATAAGACCCTCTGAAATGTAATCGGTTTTGATCCTTTTTTCATACTTCGGTTCTCTACTTATTCACATTCCTTGGTAATTCATAGTTCCTGTACAGCTACCCTGATCCCCTAATGCAGCTCAGTCAAGTTGGTTTTAATTTACTTTAGTTGGCAACTAAAATAGCTCCAAGGCAACAGGGTAATTCCATTACTGGCACTGGGAAGAAAGAAGGAAAAAAGGCAAGAATAGAGGGATATTTGAAATACTCTCTCTCTTCTTGATGCTTCTTTCCCTCTACTGCACCACCGTGGATGAGAATAGGATCCTCTCGAGGTGGTCTCAAATTAGCAGAGGATCGTCTAGAAAGAGGTAGATGTTTTCATTATCATTTGGAGCTCACTGTCATTCTTCCCACTACCCAAACAGGCAAAAGTTAGAGATACACATAGCTTTGCTATGGAGAAGAAAAGTTAGTAATGATGGATCTGGAACTAAACTGGAGCTTACAACCTTTTAGATCCTGTTTACTTCTGCAATAAACCACATTTAGAAACTGTTTTAGGAAGTCTTTGACTTCCCACAGATCTGCTACACTGTCCAGCACTGTGGTTCCAAATGCATTTAAGGTTCAGAAATTGAAAACCAGTGTTTCCAGAAAGGTTTGTTTCAGATTCTACCCACGAGCCATAATACACTAGCATGTTACTGACCCTAGATTTACTGTCAAAATAAAATATAGTAAAAAAAACAAACTGCCATTAACCTTCAGAAGGGTCAGGATTTCACAAACTTAGGCTAGCTCGTTTTCTAGCTGACATTTTTGTGGGGACAGTACAGAGGCAGTGTGCTTAATACTCCCACAAGAATTAGTCATTTTCTATTCTTAAGACTCTGAGAGCTGTTCATTTTTTGCATTTGTTGCAGCATACTCTTCAGTTCAGTCCAGCTGAAGTATCACATTACAGAATGGGATTTTTACTTTGACCTTAACTATTTACACTTGTAAATTATCACTTCACTTCAAAGTTTGTGTTTCAGCTACATGCTGAATACATACAAAGAAATGTTCCTATGCATACATAAACGTTATATACCCATTATATTGTTTTCAATCTACCTCAACTATTACAACGAGAGAAACGTCTACAGAAGAGCACATTTAATCTTTATGCACTCCCACTCCCATGACTCAATTTGCTCTGAGAACGAAAGAAAACATAAGAAAAAAATAAATACAAGAAAAAACACAGACATTTCTAAAATCTTTCCAACAATTTCAAAAAAGCTTTCTTCACTTCTTTGGTAATAACTATCATATTACCTTGAATCTGACTCCCTCTTCCAGCACAATATATCCTTGAGAAGGGGTCAAATCCACTGATGCCTCTGAAGAATTAATTTCACTTACAAGATATTGAACAGTCACGGTGCCAAATATCCCCTGAGGAGGTTCTCTAATAATATTTAATACTGCAACACTTTCCATCAAATGGAGAGCTGTTTGCTCCCTTAGGAAGAAGTGATCGCTGTTATTGAATGACAAAACTCCATGGCCATCATCATTGGCAAGTATAGTAATTGTGGCTTTTGAGAAATAAATAATGGAAATATTCTTTAATTAACAGAGTAAAATATAATTGTACATATATACAAATAAAATTAATATAAACACAAATCCATTCTTCCTTTAGTGTATATATAATGCTTTTATGTCTGTGATATTACTTGAGAATATATAAGTATTTTACTTTATCTAGGAAGATTTATAGACAGGAAAAATCTAGACTCTCTTATTAAAAAGCTCACGTTCGCACTTTGATTCCTTATTTTACATTATTATCTTGTTAATTGCATAGATTTCATAGGGATGTTTAAGAACTTTCCAAAGGAGTATAAATATGTACCATAGCAGGGCAACGGTGTTTTCTGAAATACAATTATTCAGAAGAATGAAATGAAAATGACTGCCATATAATGCCAAAGAATGAGAACATCAAAACTAAGTTTTACCTGTTGTGTTCTCCCCAGATTCCAGCCCCAGAGAGGGATTTGTTAAAATTAACTGGAACTTCTCGTCACCTTCAGGAATATCATCATCAAAAATCATAACAACAACCGATTTATTCCTTTCTCCATCAGCAAAAAAAAGAGTCTAGCATTGAAACACAGAAAGCATTGAATACTTAACAGCTGTTAATACACACAGAATTTTTCAACTAAGGTAAACAGAATTGTCTTAAATAGGAAGGAAGAGGAGGGAAGAAGAGCTATAATCTCTATGTCCCTTATAAATTGATTGAAACAGAAGTAAACAAGTTCAGCACATTGCAGAATGAGGATAAGCAAGAGCGAATTACTTTAAAAGGTCTGTTGTAAAAAAAATGAAACCTTATATGAAATCTTACATGCTCTTGTCTAAGCAAAATTGTATTTTAGATGTTTGAAAGTTTATATTGTGTCATATTTAAAAATACTTCAGTATTTAAAAAGAAAGAAACAGTAAAATAAGATGACTAATTTTATCTCATTCTATTCAGATGACCAAAGCCATTGAAACAAGCTGAAAAATCTAGCTGCACTAGAGATCATTCTGCACAATACACAAGACGTTCTTTTGAGGAAGCTGAAGGAAGCTTCTTACCCTTGAGGTCACATTAAAATCCAAACCCAGCTGTGCCTCCAAATTTTGGGCATAAAAAAATACAGACACGTTGCCATATGATCCTCTGTTTCGGTATGCCATTATTGTTAGATTCCCATGAGATTCATTAACTTCAAAACTGAAACAAAAAGCAAGAAAAATTCTCAGTGCTCACTGAGCATGTTCTTTTGAATAAGATGGTAGATAGTTGTTACATTTTCACTTCAAATCATTCTCTCTGCTTTATAGGAAAAAGGCATCATTACAGTATCAGCATCATTACAATTGTCTAATATAACCTTTTTACCTTTGTTTCTTATCGAAATTGAATTAAGCTATAGGAGGTTGTGCTTTTTTCCTGCTTATTAGTGGCAGATTAAGCCTGTCTATGTTCATGGATGCCTTCTTCCTAGCTCCTGGAAATTAGTCAGAGAAGAAGATCTGGGAGATGCCAGTGTGTATGCTTACATGGATGCAGAGGCTGGAACACTGGATGGAGGCTGGGGGAGTGACGCAAGTTCACAATATAAAAGGACAGCAGTGGCAGTAAGTACATGGTAGCAAAAGATTTCTGAGTAGACATACTGTACATGTTGGTTTGCAGTGTGGGAATTATCTCACACTTTCCAGTTCTACCGAATCGAATGATGCTTTGCCATCTCAAAGATGTGGCCCTATTTTTAATAGTTTTACTGTTAACTGAAAATGAAAATAATTGGGCAACCCCAATCACTAACTGACACAGTGAGTTCTTCAAGGAGACAAGACTTACTTGGTACTTTCCCATTCAATTACTCCGCTTACTCCATCATTAGCATCAATAATAATTTGAGAAGCTAAACCTTCCACATCTAAAATGGAAATGAAAGAACAATATAGTCAATTTTCATTATTTTCAACCATAATAGAAGCATTTCTTAAATCTCTACTGATTTTGTAGAAGAAATACGTAATTTTCTGTTTCTAAAATGTGGAGGAGAAAATGGTAGTGGGCAAGATAATTGGAAAGGCTCAAAGAAAATCTGTCCTTACTACCTTACTATTAGAACTGCAACACAGTGCCTTGAATTACCACTGTTACATTTAATAATGCATACAAAAAAGACTAAAGAAAATTTAGAAAGCAAAACACAGCACAGAAAAATGAGGAAATACCAAAAGCAAGATTTGTCATGGAATCCTAATTTATCTTCATTGTGTATGTTTATTATGATGACATTCAACATTTTGCAGACTGCACCATTCTGAATATGGGAGGGAAAATGAGTAAGAAAGAATAACAAATGTTTCAGTATTTCAGCTCCTATTCATGTTTCAGTGCCTGACCAGAAACCTTACTGGCACACACCTCAGATTCTGCTCCAAATACAGAATTATTGATTTCTTTGTAGGCTATGTACTGTAACATTCTATTGCTCCATAAAGACATATTTATCTTCACAATAACTCTGACAGATTATTGTATGTATTGCACTGTGAAAATACTGAATAATAGATTAATGCCAGAAATGTCCACTAATTATTGGGACCAGAACTTGACAGTCAGAACCTGATTCTTCTGAGAAAATAGTGCCTTAATTTGTTCAGACAACAGCACCGCATGACTACCTTAATTTACTTCAACTCACTTTTAATAAGACTTAAAAAGAAATGAAGAAAAGAATGACAATTTCTACAACCAAATTGACTCCGCTGAATCCGCAATAAATATTTAGATCCACAGGAAAGATTTCTATCAATTCAGATAAAACTTAATAAAAGTAAAAGGTCGTTGCCATGAATCCAAACCCATCACTATGAGGTAGCGATGAAGATCAGCAGTAACTGCAAAACCTCTACACAAACAGCACAAATGTTATTGAGGTTTAGAAATCCAGAGGGAGTGCTAGCTATTACAGACCTTTCAGTCTCACCCCTAACCCACGTTTTCCCTTGTCGTGTCATAGTCACATCAGTTCACCCAGGATCTGTAATACTTTGCTTTCAACATTAGACCTCTCATTTCACGTCTGGTATCTTTCCCCTCCCCTGACAGCCCCCTGCCTCCCTCCCCCAGCTTAGCTCTTTCTTGTATCCATTACATTTATTCCTTTTTCTTTCATCATTCGCAGGTGTTGATAATTTTCCCTTTTTTAAATTCCTTGCACTTTTGTACTTGAGTCAGGCTCTTTCTTCCACCTCCTCTAGAAGACGGGAGCAAGAGGAGCATGGAGAAAACAATAGAACTGTCTTTGTGCTTGCTGTTTCTGCTCCTTATCAGTGAAGCCTCAGATCAGAAATAAAGGTCATTTAAGTTCAGTGTGTTCAACTCTGCATCACAGACATACCACTCACTCCACATATTCCACGCACGTGGCCATGACAGGAACAGCACATACAGTATGTTCCAGACGTGTAGGATTGATTGCACATGCCTCTAACATGTGCAGAACACCCATCTCTTTTGATATTAGACACCTCCTAGAAATACTTCAAATACCTTGTAGAGGGTATGGGATGGCTAGAAATCCTAAATAAATGCATTGCACTGACAAGGAGTTAAACTGTCCACCATAACAAATCAAAATATACCAACAGGGAAAACAAGATTAGAAAATAGTCTGATAACAGAATTCGTAGTGAGATTTTACAATGAGGACAAATTTTTGCCTCATGGGTTAAAACTATTATCTGTTCGTCCTAAGCACATTGAACCCAATGCAGATAGACTCGACTAATCACAGCTCAGGCTCTACAAATCAGCAATGAGTCTTGCAAGTTACCTTTCAATCTGTAACGAATTAACTCAGTCACTTCTATAGGCATGCAAAGAAAAGGGAAAAGAGTCAAAGAAGATGTTAGAAATAACCAGTATAACTAGTCTGTAGTACCACAGGATAATCCAACTGCCCTTAAAGCCAATGGCAGCCATGCTACTGAATTCCGAAGAACGAGGAGCTAACTAAGCAAATGATAAATGAAGTTCACTGGAAGAGTGGGAAAACCATAGGACATGACCCCTGAAAGTAAATCTGATAAAGAGTAATAAAAAGAGACTTTTAAAAGAGTGAACGAAGTAATCACGTAGAATAATTTTTTTGACATTTTTGTTTCCATTACATACTTTGTAAATGAAAATCAGATTAAGACACTGCCAATAAAACTTTTCAGATAATTGTGCTCTCCAACTGTTAATTATTAACTCCTTTATGAAAATTGCCTTATAATTTTTACAGAGCCTAAAAAAGTAATAATGAATATGTTCGATATTCTACAATGTTTCTTTCAGAATACCCTGTCTCATATTGGCATAGTTAGCAAGTGGAATAACGATAATATGCCAGAGTAATATAATCTGCATGCAATTCATATAAAAGGAAAGCCAAAGATAATTCTGTATAAGTTGTTTTACCCAGCCGAGGTGGGGATAAAGTTGAATGGTTCATGATGAGTTCCACTGAAGTTAAATTAACCAAGAAGAATTCTTGCACCTCTGGTACATCATCCTGCAAAACAAATTCAGTACATCCTCTTTTCATTTTCCTTTAAGAAACTGTCACAGAAGTCACCAAAAAGCAACACACTAGAACTCTCTAATATTACAGCAACACTAGAATCAATTTAGTTTTCCATTTTCCTGAAATACTTTTAGTGGGTGTAAAATTGATTATCTTGAATGAATTATGAAGTAATTCATATTTCATATTTCATGAAAAAGACTCTGTGGTGACACTAAACTATTCTTATGAATAAATTTCTGCCCAATTTTAAAGGCATAAACCCCAACCACTGAGCAAGCAAGAGCCTGTAGCAAGCAATGAATTACACTGTTCTGAATATCAGATAGTAAAGTCTTAATGAGACAGCTAAATTTCATTTATGCATATGTAGAGCTGCTTTCTGTTATTATTTGTCCTCCTGTGATTTTAACATTCAGATAAAAACCACCTTTCTAAATGACAATGAAATATATATCTTCAAGTAATATACAGGTTGCAAGCTTTAGGTTCCAAAATATTCCACTTCTGATGTCATACAGATCAATATAGAATGAAAAGGGTTAGACTTTACCTCTAGAATTGTAACGTTTATGGCAGCTGATGTTTCTCCTTCTTCCAAAATCAGTGAGCCAGAAACAGCTATATAATCAGCTCCTGGTTCAGCCAAGGTCCCCTCTGTCTGATTACTTAGGGTGAGCAATCCTGGAACTGTGGCATACGTAACATTGATAGCACCTGTTTATTTTGTGACAAAAAAAAAATTTTTTTTCAATGCTTATGAAAGATAAAGAAAAGAAATCATCCACAAAATGAAAAGACTAACAGCAAAACATTAGGATTAAAAGATTAATCTGGAGCCAATGGAACTTTGTTATTGTTTTTAATGTGCTTTCAGTCCAGCCTTTGGTGGATCCAAAAAGCATTAGGACCAAATGTATTCAGATATTTGAGGTGCTGTGGACCGCAGTTACACTGCTGAAGTACTACCTGGGACATCTAATGTATTATTAACATCAGGTTTGGTGCTAAGGGAAGTAGAATGTTTCAGGAACAACTGATATCTAAGAAAGGCTCTAAAGACAGTGCTGGGAAATACAGCTGAAGAAATCTAGTTTCCTTCCCAGGCAGATTGACAGACTTCAATAAAGAATAAAATTAGGGGACACACTGATAAATGTTACCAAGGGAAAAAGTTAGACATAGTTTTTTTTGTGATAAAGCCACGTCTCACTAATCTGCCAGGGTAAGTCAAGTGGCAAATGTAAAGACAGTGATTCTGGAGATAAAATGACAGATGAAATTCAACGCTAGTCTGTATGAAATAAAATATAAGTTATAAAAGAATCCTAGTTTTAATAAATAATGATGGACAGTAATTTAAGTAAGAGAACTTACATTTACTACAGATACTTATCTTAAAAGCATTAGTTTCCTGAGTAGTGTGCCAAAAGTAAATTAGATACTGATTGATATTAAAAAAGAAATGGGAAAACATAGAAATGTCATTAAAATGCCTCTACAAATCTGTGGTGTGTCCAGATCTTGAATATTGATTGTAACTGGTCACTTCACTTCAAAACAGATATAACAAAAGAAACTAAGAGGGATTATCGCTGAGGTCTAAATACAGTCTAAAAAGGCAAATAGGAAATGATTACACGTTCTCTCACAATATAAGTTGAAATTCTCAGGCAACAAACACAAGAAAATATTTTTGCACACAGCACATTATTGAATTCTGGAATTAAGTACCACTTAATTTTATGGATGTTAAAAGACAAATTGATTTAAAAAGGAATAAGAAATTCTCAGAGGAGACATAAACTGAACTCAGTGGTCTGAACGCAACTTTTCCCATGGGATGTTCCTAAGCTGCCAACTTCTGGAAGTTTAGAGGGGAAATATGTGGGAACAATCATTCCATACAAGCTCCTTTTCTCCTTTGTTTTTTTATTTCTTCTGGAGAGACTTACACTTTGAGACAGATTCGTTAGACATAAAGGTAGTAACCCTAATAGCCAACTAGTTACATCACAGCTCCCAGACTCCTTGCTGTGGAAATGAGGGCTATGGCTCCAGTTTTAACTAAAACTTAGTTTCCAAGCGCGCAGTAAGAAGCCCAGAAGTTCAGAAAATATCAACTGTACCCAAGATTCTTCAAAATTTCCAGCCTCCCTGTCATGGCTTTCATTTGCCTAATGATTACCAAAACAAAACTTCCAAAAAAGGAAGTTTGTATAACTTCCTTTGAGTTATACAAACCTAAAGATCCAAATTCTCTGTTAATAAAAAGCTGAACGGTTTTGTTTTCCTCTGGCATTAAAACTACCCTGGATGGGGAAGCAAAATTCAAGACTCCATGTGGTTCATCACTAGCTTCTACTGTCAGAACAGCTTCATATCCTTGACTATCCAAAACAGCAGCACCTGAAGAAGAAACTCCTGCAAAACAATCAATGGACTACAGTGAATAAAGTGTTACGCAACTAATTTTTTTGTCTTATATTACTGCTATTATTACATTCAAATGACAGCCAGCAGCAGTGCAAATGAAATTAAACCAAATGCAAGATGCGCTCACTGAAGTTTATGGATGGTGTGGAATGTGTATATATTTACATCCTATAACAAATACAGGAACATACAATCACAACAGAAATTGTATGCATACTAAGTACAGAGTCACAAAAAAGTATTAAGAAATAAGAAAACTTAATGGGCCAGTGCCAAATATCAACTTTGCTAAACCTCCTCTATTGTAAAAGGAAAGAGAAAGTTTTCCCAGGAATTAACTCCAGAAGTTAAAATTATATTCAACTTCTCAACCATTCCATTAAGAAATTAATCCCTTTCCCAAGCGTTGCCTTGATGAATAATTGTTGGTGTATCCATTTACGCTTATCCTGATGGATTACAAGAGTCAACAAATTACTCTGGCAAGTTGGTAAGGCACCTAACAGCAACACAATCCATGTCAGGTTAGTTTGGTGTTTAGACATTAATTTCAGTTTAACAAAGGGTATTTTCAGAAGGGATGCAGTTTCATGCTTCTTTTCTCATTATAATTTGAATGGCAAGAATAAAACATTCTGACCTCCTTGAATTCAGAGCCAGATCAGAAAGTCAGCTTGTGACACGACAAGATTGCTTTGAAAGATAAAAATATCCACTTATTTCATGACAACTGTATCCAGAATACATTACTAAGCTCAAGCTTGTATTCAGTTAAAGGGAAGCAAATAACCACTGAATTAAACAGGCAGAGTTAAATCAGGGTTAAAACCAATTAAGGAAAACTGCAACGACACTGTGGTGTGGTTTTCTATGTATATATATATACACATATATATATCTATATACGTATACACATAAGGACCAAGCCTATTTCACTAATGTGAATGAACTTTGCATACTTTACACCAGTTGCAGTATGCTTAGTCCTACACCTCCAAAATGGGTTAATAAACATGAAAATATTACAGTACTAAATGGCAGTTTTAAGATATAGCAGGCTATAGTTCTGCATTACCTTCTGTTTTGATGTTGTATAGGATGATCTGGTATTCTTCTTTTTCTTCAGGAATATGGTCATCCAGCAAGTGAACATACAATGTTGTATTCAATGTCTCCTATTTATTTTATTGATAAAGTGATTAGTCATTATTGTATAAAATACAAGTGATATCACTGTATCATATGTATTTTGAACAACAACTTTAAATGTCAAGTTAAAGTATCAAAAACTATAAATTCCCTCCAGTTTAGAACTCCAAGAGTAAGGGAGCAAGTAAATAATCAGACCAAGAAACAAAGACTGCTATAAAAGCATGCTCATTTTCTCAGCTCAGTTTTAATTACAATATTCTCCTGTAGCCATTAGCTTTGCTTATGGACTTACCTCAGGAAAAAAGAGTATTCCAGAATAGTTTTCAAAATTTTGTTTTACATTATGCCCAACTATCTTCCATTCAACAGTAACATTTCCCAGTCCTGGGGCAGTTCTTACAATATGGAATTGCAGCTGTTCTCCTAGGAAAAAAGGGTAAGATGCAATATTTTGGCGTTTCCTCTCCTACATATCAATTATAAAAATGAGAAGCCAAAAACATGCATCACAGTCAAAACGATTTTTCTGAAAGACATTCATATTTTTAAAGTGAGTTTCACAGTAGTTATATAACACATCTGTTTTTAATACTGAAACAAAAAACCTGAACTCTCTCATCCCGGGTTCTTCTGGTTTTAGTTCACTCCTGGAAAGAACTATCAAAATACAAGGGAACCTGGTACAGATGAATAACTTAGAAAGTAAATGCCCATCAAAACACACACAAACAGAAGAGCAATACCTGTCTGTGAACTACACAAAATAGTAAATGCTGTATGTACCAGTTATAACACAAACAGTTTTCTACAACAGCTAACTGACAAGGAATATACATTTTCCTAACATTTGCAGTGTCTTCTGACTTTACATAGTGCGTGCAGAAAAATGCTTGTAATTACCTGTAAGTTCCATTTATGTGAGTTTGAACTTACAAATATCGTCAGTGTTAGAAAAGAAAATATCCAGAAAATGTCAATATTTAATAATCTATAATTTTAAAAATAAAGTATTTCAAACTAAAATATTAATATTTAATAATCTATAATTTAAATTTTTAATAATTTCTTATAATTTCTGGGATAATCATTATCAATTTACAATGTGCATCTATAAGAAGCCATTATGGTATTTTTCACATTTATAACATTTAACCCAATGGGCACTTTAATTAAAAAAAGCAATCTCCTTAGAAATCTTCATAAAATTTAGAAAATTTATATAATTTATATGATATTAAATACTTATATACATTTATAAAATTCATATAGTTTATATAATAGGAAATATTTTAAATATGGACATGTGAAATTAACGTGTTATATCAATATGAAACAAATCAGCAGGCAAAATTAGTATTATGCAACACATTCACATTTGAGGACAGATGTTTATTTATAATATGTAAGTGTATTGCATCTGTATGTCAACAGCATTTTTCAAGTGCACGGAATTTAAGTTTGCCAGTATGCACAGTGTTGCATTGGATTGAAATATGCAGAAATCTATAATATTGAGATGCTTGGAAATAATAATACATGAGCTTTCTTTTGCTTACGAAAGAATGAATAAAACTAAACAAAAACTTTTCAAAATGTATTTTAGTGATGATTTTTGTCAGAAACCTGACAAACTTAGTTCCATCCCCAACTGACTGAAAAAGCCTTTCTTAGTATTGCTATAAACCGACTTGTTTTTTTTTTTTCACTGTTGCAATATCTGGAATAATTCCATCATCTGATTTGTGTTATGTACACGCTTAGAAGCAAATCTATTGAGAAACACTGAGGTACATCTATGAAAGTGAAAGAGATGTGGTGGTATGTGGCTTCTTACTCTATGGCATAGAGAATTGAGCAGCCCAGCTAGTCTCCCTGATTATGTAATTTAAAGAGCACTAATTTAGGATGCTATCTGGCTATTCTAGTATATTATATCACAGGACAGTATTGTATAGCTAAAACTGGCAGGAACAATTTGAACATTTTGTAGACGTGTTCTTTCTTTGGTAAGGAAATGTTAGAGAGATGCATTTGTATTGGCTACCAGTGAGAGATGTGAACAACTAACTTCAAGAGACCTTAATATAATTAATTAAAATATAAAATTGTGAAGAAGTAATACAAGAATTGTATCCACTCATTTTCAATTAAATAGAATTAGTATATGTTATTCAGCCTCAACATTTCAAACTTCAATTAAGCCTTGGAGATGTACCAAGGTTCATATCTTTGTCTTAAGTTGTTCCATGTTGCTTCTAAGAGAATAAAAGAATTCAGAATTATTGACATCGTAAGGATTCTGCTTCTACAGATAGCTGAGGACAGAATACCAGTTTACAAGCTCCCCTGAGGCTAATTCATCATGTTCTTTAACACTGCACTGAAATCCATTCTATCCTATTTGAGAATTTTGCACATCCATTGCAAACAAATGAATACTTAACAGAAAAATGGTTACTTTAATACCACTGCAGAACTCACAATTTAAACAAAGCTTCTTTCAATACAACATCATGTAATACAATGGATTTTCGCTGAAGACTGGAACAAAACACTTTATGATGCAGAAGCCTGTTACACTGTAATCCAAACACTAAGAAGAAACCTAAAATACAATTCATCATAATTACAGACCCCAAGTAGTTAATTACTGACCCATGTTTCTTAGTCAGCTTTACCAAAATCTTTGGTATCCCTATCCAGAAAGAAATACAAATACTAATTGATTTCTGAAGATTGAAAGTGTTATTAGGCTAATTTCACTATTTTAAGTTTTTCAATATTTAACCATATTATCCATATCTTTAGATTTCTACATTGATCAGGGAGAAGAAGGGGGCCTCAGCCATCCTCCTCTTCTTCATTATTTCAAGTTACCGCAGTGCATTTTCCTCTAATGCAGTCATAGCCACACAACTGTTGCATGCCTCTGCCTGTGCTAAAATGCCACCCTTGCCCTCAATAAGGTGATAATAATATGCACAGTTTGAGAATAATAGAGATTTGCTTGACAGAAATTGTTCAATAATACAATAAATATAAAAGATAATCATATTCAAATTTATGTCTGGTAAATTTTGTTTTCAGAACAAAAAACCTTGATACTGAAAATGAAATACAAACACTGAAATCATCTAAAAGCCTTAGGTCATTCTTTTTTTTAATCAAAGGGACTTAGTTTGGTTGGTTTTTCTTGCTGCAAAACGATGCACTATTTTTCACAAGCTGGATGAATTGGAATCAAGTAATTTCCAAACTATAGCAGAGTATTTCAGCTCCAAATGGCCAGCATTTGCTAGCATGCTATGAATAATATTTAACCAGTGGAAATTATTCAGGGTCATCATAACCTTTGGGAATGAGACAGTTTGTATTAATTCCTTGTGCTCATTAACAGCTCTTTTTAGCTTACCACATTGCAGCTGGCTTGGCAGGTGGATCAGAACTGTTAATGTGGAGGAATAAAGGACAAAAACTGGGCACACACTAGCACAGAATTAGCACAAACCATATCTAGATAAAAACCAAAAGGTTATGATGTCCTTTCATGTCTGGAAAAATACAGAACACATTTGGTTGAGAAAGACTTTTTTCTTCAAACAGAAAATGCAATGCACATATTCCTGTACAGCAAATTTCTGTTTTGTTAACTTTCCCTGCCCATCAGTTTACGTCAGAGAGATATGATACTGCAGTACATTGAGATTCCACCAAAGGCTGACAAAAGCAATTCACCATCAGTACCATTATTATGCTATGCAAAACTGCATCAAACCTTAGATCAAACACACAACGCGCTCTTTTAAAGCGCTAGTAGAAATCTCTGGTCCGTATCAAATTATTATTGTTCTTTCTCAAATGTCATGACTGAGTGATGACAGCAAGACTCCTACATTCCCAAATTAGCTACCATAAAAAAGCATAAACAGAAAATTTTAAAACAGCAGGTTATTGAGTCAGGAAGAGGGACAATGTGACCCTCATCTTTCTGTGGGAATATTTTCTAGAATATTTAAAGTGAATTATAAGTCACTGATAGATGAGATTTGCTCATGACTACTAATAGGTGTGTATGATGGGAGTTATACACAGTTCTGGAATACGGTATAAATGAATACGACAAGAAGTGCTAAAAGGAGCTTTGAAATTCAATACCAATAGAAGGAAGGCATGATCTTCAGAAAAAAAGGAAAGCACAGATGATGATATATAAAATGGTTTTGGAAATGGTGTACTCATCCTTTCCATAGATTTCATTTCAGTGCTATGCTTGCGAGAATTAAAAATTCAAAGAAATACATGCCAAGTATGTGGTTATGGTTATTCTCTGCTTGCTGGCACTCTCTGAACAGTGATACAATCAATCACTGTGAGTCATTATCAACAGCAAGCACAGAGATGGAAGCTGTTGTTAAACAAACTGAGTGTGGTCAACACAAAGAACCCACCTTCACGACCAATAACAGATCTTGAGGCTGTCTGGAAGCTAATAATTCCCGCCACATTGTCACTTGCCAGAATAATCACTGTGACAGTGTCAAAACTGGGCAGAATCCGACTCCCTCCTTCAGTATGGACCAGGCTGATTATGATACTTTCATTATCCTCTGGCTCTGGATCATCTAAAATGGTCAGTGTGACCATCTTTTTTGTTTCCCCTACAAGGAGAAGAACATATACATACTTAGGTGTGCACATGGAAATCACCTTTTAAAAAGCCTTAATGATCTCCTTTTGTAGGAAATACTTAAAAAATATAAAAAAGGACATGAAGCATATTTATTTATTTACCTGTCCAGAAGTTACTGAATGTCATTATGAAGTTTTATTCAATTACTACTGAAAAGTTACATTAGGGAAATGTAATTATCAACTTATTAAATATACTATGTAGAAATTAACAATGTAAGCATAACTTCTGAATGCCCAGAATTCTTTGTATGCATTGTAAGTTCTCAGACTTTCAAATTTCACTTAGAAAAGGGGAATATCATTCTTGTAAAAAATTACCAAGTGTGTAAGTTCTCTGATGAACCATACACACAAGTATGTATGCTCAATTTGAATATATTCACTGGGCGAGCGAATGCATTAAAATGGGCTGTCATTGTGGTAGTTACTTGTCTTCTGGACTATCATAGAATGACAGTGTAAATGGCAAACACGATCAATTACCAGTCTCTAATAATCTGTTAGAATTTACAACACAACCTTCTTGCTCAGTGCATGTGCATAACCTGTGTTTTGCGATTATGAGAATATCAGTTTACAAGATACGCATATTTCTTGCCACATTGTGTTTCAAAATACTTTGAAAGCAGTTTTTACCAAACTTATAACCACTAATGTAATTACATGTCAGCCTCAGAATCACTGCTGGCAACCATTCTTTTGAGTTCAGATGATTTAGCAAGCTAGCTAGCACACTAGAATCTTTACTATACCCCCATAAATTGCTTTCAAAATAACTGTTCAGTCAACTCTGACTTTGAAAATAGAAAATACATCTGTCATACTGTGTGGTACTTAAGTAATGTCTGCCATTGACTTGTTTGTCCTGTTTGCAATTTTTTTTTTAATATGCTGTTATGAAATCAATACGATCTCAGAATCTAAAAAGAGACGTCATGAAAAATTAGTACTGCACTAACTGAAGGTTAACAAAAAAGCATTTAGGCCTGATTCTCATTTTCATTATCCTTGATATAACAACTATCTTTAGCATTGTAATTCCTCCTCTATTTGATAAAAAGGTAATCTTTATAATGCACACTTGTTGTGGTTTAACGTCAGTCAGCAACTGAGCACCACACAGCCGCTCGCTCGCTCACTCACCCCCCCCCCGTGGGAAGGGG